ACATTACATAATAGGTACGAGTGTAAATAGTGGACTCTATTTATCCGCTCATCTGACTTGATCTGAATTTTCTTATATCTCTAGACCTGCCTATGTGAGCATCCTATCTTTTCTACCTAAATATTGACACATCATTGAACCCTTTTACTATGTCATACGGCCATGTCANCTGATTTGCATTCGGAAATAAAAAACTTAAACTTAAACTTAAACATCAATATAGAATTGCACACGTGTAATAATACCTGAAGGTGCTGCGATTGGTCAAAGTTGTGAACTTCATTAACTACATAGTTTCTCATACATTTCAAGTTTTTTCAATTAGATGAATTTGAAATGTTAATTTTTCAGTATTTTTTCATTGCCTATTAAAAAAATCTGGAATTACTTTGCACTTCACTGAACAAAAATACTGTGGATACACCTGTATCTCTTACGTATATACCAGTACCTCCTATGTATATACCTGTACCTCTATGTATATACCTGTACCTCCTATGTATATACCTGTACCTCCTATGTATACACCTGTACCTCCTATGTATATACCTGTACCTCCTATGTATACACCTGGACCTCCTATGTATATAGCTGTACCTCCTATGTATATACCTGTACCTCCTATGTATACACCTGTTCCTCCTATGTATATACCTGTACCTCCTATGTACGTACCTGTACCTCCTATGTATATACCTGTACTTCCTATGTATATACCTGTACCTCCTATGTATATACATGTTCCTCCTAAGTATGTACCTGTATCTCCTATGTATATACCTGTACCTCCTATGTATGTACCTGTACCTCCTAGGTATGTACCTGTACCTCCTATGTATATACCTGTACTTCCTATGTATATACCTGTACCTCCTATGTATACACCTGGACCTCCTATGTATATACCTGTACCTCCTATGTCTATGTATATACCTGTACCTCCTATGTATATACCTCTACCTCTTATGTATATACACCTGTACCTCCTATGTATATACCTGTACTTCCTATGTATATACCTGTATCTCCTATGTATATACCTGTACCTCCTATGTATGTACCTTTACCTCCTATGTATGTACCTGTACCTCCTATGTATATACCGGTACCTCCTATGTATGTACCTGTACCTCCTATCCTGTACCTCCTATGTATATACCAGTACCTCCTATGTATACACCTGTACCTCCTACGTATATACCTGTACCTCCTATGTATATACCTCTACCTCTTATGTATATACACCTGTACCTCCTATGTATATACCTGTCCCTCATATGTATATACCTGTACCTCCTATGTATATACCTCTACCTCTTATGTATATACACCTGTACCTCCTATGTATATACCTGTCCCTCATATGTATATACCTGTACCTCCTATGTATATACATGTTCCTCCTATGTATATACATGTACCTCCTATGTTTATACCTGTACCTCCTATGTATATACCTGTAACCCTATGTATATACCTGTACCTCCTATGTATATACATGTTCCTCCTATGTATGTACCTGTACCTCCTATGTATATACCGGTACCTCCTATGTATGTACCTGTACCTCCTATCCTGTACCTCCTATGTATATACCAGTACCTCCTATGTATACACCTGTACCTCCTACGTATATACCTGTACCTCCTATGTATATACCTCTACCTCTTATGTATATACACCTGTACCTCCTATGTATATACCTGTACTTCCTATGTATATACCTGTACCTCCTATGTATACACCTATACCTCCTATGTATATACCTGTACCTCATATGTATACACCTGTCCCTCCTATGTATGTACCTGTACCTCCGATGTATATACCTGTCCCTCCTATGTATATACCTGTACCTCCTATGTCTATGTATATACCTGTACCTCCTATGTATATAGCTGTACCTCCTATGTATATACATGTACCTCCTATGTTTATACCTGTACCTCCTATGTATATTCCTGTTCCTCCTATGTATATACCTGTACCTCCTATGTCTATGTATATACCTGTACCTCCTATGTATATACATGTTCCTCCTATGTATATACATGTACCTCCTATGTTTATACCTGTACCTCCTATGTATATACCTGTAACCCTATGTATATACCTGTACCTCCTATGTATATACCTGTTCCTCCTATGTATACACCTGTACCTCCTATGTATATACCAGTACCTCCTATGTATACACCTGTACCTCCTACGTATATACCTGTACCTCCTATGTATCCACCTGTGCCTCCTATGTATATACCTGTACCTCCTATGTCTATGTATATACCTGTACCTCCTATGTATACACCTATACCTCCTATGTATATACCTGTACCTCATATGTATACACCTGTACATCCTATGTATATACCTGTACTTCCTATGCATATACATGTACCTCCTAGGTATATACCTGTACCTCCTATGTATATACCTTTACCTCCTATGTATATTCCTGTACCTCCTATGTATATCCCTGTACCCCTATGTATATACCTGTACCTCCTATGTATAAACCTGGACCTCCTATGTATATAGCTGTACCTCCTATGTATATACATGTACCTCCTATGTTTATACCTGTACCTCCTATGTATATACCTGTACCTCCTATGTACCAGTACCTCTTATGTATATACCTGTACCTCCTTTGTATATACGTGTACCTCCTATGTATATACGTGTACCTCCTATGTATATACCTGTACCTCCTATGTATATACCTGTACCTCCTATGTATATACCTGTACCTCCTATGTATATACATGTTCCTCCTATGTATATACATGTACCTCCTATGTTTATACCTGTACCTCCTATGTATATACCTGTACCTCCTATGTATATACCTGTACCTCCTATGCATACACCTGTACCTCCTATGTATACAACTGTACCTCTTACGTATATACCTGTACCTCTTATGTATATACCTGTACCTCCCATGTATATACCTGTACCTCCTTTGTATATACGTGTGCCTCCTATGTATATACGTGTTCCTCCTATGTATATACGTGTACCTCCCATGTATATACCTGTACCTCCTTTGTATATACGTGTACCTCCTCTGTATATACGTGTACCTCCTATGTATAGAGCTCTACCTCCTATGTATATACATGTTCCTCCTATGTATGTACCTGTACCGCCTATGTATATACCTGTACCTCATATGTATACACCTGTACCTCCTATGTATACACCTGTACCTCTTACGTATATACCTGTACCTCTTATGTAATACACATATAACAATACATAATGATAAATACTTGGTAAAAGCTTAGAAATCAGCAAATGGTATCAACAGTGTATAATGTCATATTATCCATTCGTGTTGCCAAAAGCTATTAGATAATTATATGAATTTCTAAAACTGTCTGCGTACGCGATGGTGCTTTGTTAAAAAATAAAAGCAAGACAGAGAAAACGAAATTACATAGAAAAACATAAATAAAGTCTATGGATACAAATCACATGCATTTTTTTTGTATTACGCTATCAGAGTTGTTGCCAAATAAACCCCAAACAATATTGGCCTGAACCGCTCTGTCGTGTTACGGACATATGTGTTATATTTCAAATGAAGGAATGAAATACACCTGCTTCTATAATTCAATGTGCTTATCACGATCTATGTACTTTTATAAAACCGAAGTCACTTCAATCGGAAACATCATCTTAACCATGAGAAGCTACCACAAAACTACACGCTGTTATGTTGTGTAATTTCGTTCTAAATTAAGCTAAAATGTGTAAACGAACACTTCATGAGTATTATTGTAAAATCTTTCCCGTGTTTTCCCGAGTAGACTACGCCCGGCCCTCTGTCAGTAAGGACTCGGGGCGAGGGTTGGGGGATACCACTACTTCATATTGAATTCATTCCAGGATCCTTTGTATATTTTATAAAAATAATTTAATCTCTGATAAACCATTGCCTATCACCTAAAGATTTAGGTTTACTTTCTTTGTCCTGTTACTGCAGGTTTAAAGATAAATCTCCTTAGCCATATCGATTAAGTTAAAACTTGTTCACTCATTCTTGACGGCTATTCTTATAAATATTTATCAACTTTTGACCACATCGATGCAGGCCTGCGGTCAGAGCTTTAAATCATATCAAGTAAAACACTAACACGCCTTATGCAAGGAGCAAACTATGAATATCATCACAATATATCCTCAATTTTACACATCTTCCCTCAGTTCATACGAAATGTATCCATGACATGTCTAGCCCTATTCTAACGGAGCAAATGTATATATACAATGTAAACTCGTATTTACCCTTCCGTTTCTCCCTTATGCTTCCAGAGAGACCACAAACAACTGGTCAAGGGGTGAGTCATACAATATTGAATTTATCTTTTAAGCAGAGGAGAAAATGCAATAAGGCCTTTTGATTGGTTAATTTAACTTCAAGCTGTAATGCAGGGCATATATTTGCAATATTTAAGAAAAAAACATGTGAAAAACAAGCTTGACCCATTTATCCAACTTTGAGGTTTTTAAAAAACCCAGTGATTTATCAACATGTAACATGATGTATAATATGAGCTCGGAAGATTGTTCGCGAATTCAAATACATTTATTTTAACCTAATCAAAATGACATATAGTAAATGTTAAAGTTTATGCAATTCAACTACTCGGATTGTACATCAGTTAATAGATGTGCATTACGTTAGTATATTAATGTTTATTATGTCAGTTTGTAAAAAAGTGCAGCGATACTTAACATTGACATCAAATAATTAGCAGCAGTTACTTGTATTTAATTAATGGTATAAATGATATGGTTAAAAGAGATTCAGCAACATGTATTAAAACGTACGACAACCACACACATTAACATCATTATAATCGTAGCAACAATGTACTTTTTTTTTCATTTTGTCGTTGCATTATAACATGATTTCGATACCCAAAATATTTTATAAACGATGATAAACAGGGAACCACTTCACAAAACTTCAGTTGGATATCCCTATGACGTCATATATTTGTATCCAACATGCTATTTTTGCTTCTAGAATGCCCATTTGGAACACTTTTTGTTGGTGTGGTATCCAAATGCAAAGAATCCGAAGAGTACCGAAGGTTTCCTAAACTTCGTGCAGGTGACCAACTTCTCCTGTTATCTCTACCTTGAGGAAGAAGTGTTCCGAGTGAAGTGGTTAAATTATCATCCCTATGTATTCGATTATCATATGTTGACCGGAAGTGTGAGCAACGTCTCGTAGACGTTTGATTTGTGACATAACTATACTCTGTACAATTGAACTTGTTTTTTTCCCCATAGCAGGGTTTACACACCACCCGTAGAAACACTCGGCGGAACTTTGTACTCATCACGGAGTATAACATAAAGTTAATGGCAGCATTAAGTAATAAAAGCAAATTGGTCACATTGCCAGCTATCCTCATGTTATTTACTTCGGCTTTTGATAGCGCTATATCAGCATTTTCTAAATACGCAGAAAATATGATCAAGAATGCTGAAGGGATTTGACACACTATGAAGACTATGCCGACGCTGATCAGCATGAGTGTAATTTTGTGTTGCTCCCCTTGTTGACGTTCCCCGTGCGTCCGATTTGACACGACATGCGTCATTCGTCGACGTAACACTGTTGCTTTCCAAACCGTGTAGATAAGAATTGAATTAAAAGTCCAAATACATAGAAGTGGAACAAACGTAAACATGACAGCTAGGTACCAATAATATCCCACTTTGTAAAGGTTGCTGTTACCGAATTCCGTGTCGGTTACCTCAATAGATGTGACGTTATCCACAATTTTCTCCGACACTTCCCATTCAAAGAATTCAGGTGATGTTGACGCTAAAGCGAAAAGAACAACAAGAACTGCTATGATTCGCGCCCTTTCCGGAGTACATATCACGTGACCTCGCATCGGGAGGCATACTGCAATGTATCGTTCCACAGTGAAGGTCACTGTAAGACATACAGAAACATTACCACACATATCCGTAAGAACCCGCGCAACCGGAAACCAGTACTTGTAAACACGAGCATCTCCCAAATCACCATAATGTTTGAAACTAAGAGAGAAAAACATTAGCAAATAAAGCGTGTCAAAAATTGCTAATGTCGCAAGATAGCAATTAGTCGACGTTCTCATCGAACGATGCGTAAGAACGATGATGCTTAGGATGTTTCCTGTTAGTCCTAGACCGACAACGAGTGGAACGAGGATATTTTGGACAATTAACCGAGTAATCCGGAGCTGTTCACCATTACCGGGTTCATCTGGAAAAAGACTTGTCGGCGTCAGTGAAATGTTGAAGATTGACATTGTCGTATTCTCCGTCATACTTGTATTACTACCTTGTAGGTTACGCCGGGTAAACTCTGTTTCAATCTTTCGGTTGTCAAGACAAGGTGGTAATGCGCAGACTACTACCCATCCTAGTTATGACTGTAATATAACAGAAATAATACAACGAAATCAAGCGTAGTATTGACGATTTCATTGGCACCGTTCGTCACGTCACACAGCCGATAGTTCCGGTACTATAATGTATTCTGGAGAGTTATAGCACAATATAGCTAAAGCTGCCAGTTCGAACTTCCATAAACCGATCTAGAGATGAACAGATAAGTGTAGAGTTCAATGGAAGGGCGATTGTTTAACGATATCCGATATTTACGCTTCACTTCAGAAATTCTCCTTTGATGTGTTGATCCCAAGTGAAAGGATTTATCCAATGAAATCACGGATATGATTTGAAGCTTGGCTTTTCTCAAACGTCATCTACTGAAATAAGAAATGATCCTCACTCATGTATGAACGATCGTGGACGCCTTTGAAATAGTTTGACATTTTAATCTTATCCAATGAAACGATATTTGGTCTTACACACTCAGTGGGGTATAAACAATCTCAGACGCTGGTGAAATAACAAGGCAACGTAACATTATCCTCTGAATTTGATCTTAGGTTTGGTCCATGGATAGACGCGCGATAGTAAACGTTATCTACTTGGCATGAGGAGAAACCCGAACGTGTATCACACAGAAGGAGGGCTTGTTTGTGACGTCATCGACGAACTGAATACAATGTAACGTCATCGACTGAAATATTGGATAATCTTAAGAATTTAGTAATAAACACAGACGTCGTCCGTAAAATGAGGATAACGCTTAAATGTTATCCATAAATATGAGGTACACGCTTAAATTATCCACAATGATGACGAGTACGCTTAAGTAGTACCCATCCAATTAATGAGGAATCCACAACGTCATTCACCAAAACTGCTCACCATTCAAGGAATGTAAGTGTTATCATACGTTGTCCACGGGGGTAATACCACTGTATTTTAGAAATGACAAATAACGTGTCATATGAACGCTTAATATTTACCGTTGTTTCTCCTCCGACTCGGAACGTATACATGAAGATGCAATCTCCTTAAATGATGCACGATGGTTTAACTATCAAACACAGAAAATCAACACCACACCGTACGACACTCAGATCGTTTTACGTGAGATGACATGTTGACAAGTATCAATTCCACTGAAACGGTTCGTGTACATGCGATCGCATGGAGAGTTGCACGACGTTTTATATACTAAAACACAGAAAATCTACACTGACGTGAACAGGCAAATATGGTGTATTAAATCCGTTGAAGTTTGACCAGTTTATCTTCCACTGAAACGGAACTTGTAAATAAGGTCCCATGGAAGGATGCACGATGTTTAAAACAAATAACACAGAGAATCCACACTGCCACCGTAAGGCACACAGATCGTTATGAAATGTCAGTCGACACAACTGGTTCCTAGAGATCTGCTCATGCGAATCAAAACAGTCTTCATCACTTTAGATAATATATTTGCGTTTTAGTTAGTCAGCAAGCGTAAACACACAACATGTATTAGTGAAATGTACACCCGTAATTGTGTTGCTGTTAACAACGTAATATCTTTATGTAGGTAGATACGTATATTACATCTGAAGTATCGCCAGCTATATACACCGATATAACTTGTATCAGCTATATAGCAACTTTATTCTAGTTGCTATGAAACCGATCTTGAAATTGGAAATAAATCTTTTTTTTTTCTCTTATTAAAATAAATTGAACTTAACGCGTGACTGAAAAAGCCTGTTTACGGTTGAATATCTTGTGTATGACTCGCGTTCACTAGTGATAAAATGTCACCCGGTGTCACATGTACGGCAATTAAGTTTCTAATCGAACAGAGCTTAAATCCGCTACGAGCGACGTTGAAATACAAATGTTTTCGGGATTCTTGGATTGCTGTTTCAAACTTTTCAGCAGGCGCATGTCAAATTCTTCTTCTGTTGTAAAGTTATCTTATCTCATTAAAGATATATGTGTGTTAATGACTTCAAAAGCATCTCATCGCCAGGGAAATGACGCGGCGTTCTCATTAGTTCTGTACAGCATAATACTCCGACTCTGAAAAATACAACAACAAATACACCATTAAAACAAAATGCCAAGAAGTTGATGAACAATACATATCAAAAAGGTAATTTGCTTTTAATAAAATGACACATACTTCTAACAGAATTACACTTACTTTTAATAAAATGACACATACTTCTAACAGAATTACACATACTTCTAACAGAATTACACATACTTCTAACAGAATTATACATACTTCTAACAGAATTATACATACTTCTAACAGAATTACATTTACTTTTAATAAAATGACACATACTTCTAACAGAATTACACATACTTCTAACAGAATTACAT